AACACATCATGATTTATTTTAAAATATCACTGTGTGCCTACTCAGAACAGTGGGTATACAGTGGTATATATATATATATATATATATATATATACTAAGCCTATTCAACATTTGCGATCACTAGCTTGACTGAATGGTAAGATAAAGCCTCAGTATGAATCATGAAAGGCCTCAACCCACTTATTACGACTACAAGTTTGACTGCCTTTCATCTTCCCCGTAGCGCGCTCATCCAATTGTTACTGCTGCCATATCTGGATCCCCAAGTTCAAAGAAATCCCTGGGTGATTCTGAGGTTATTCTCTCCGGTACTTTTTTTCAGATTGCCATTAACATTTTTCACATTTGTGCCTTCATGTAAATCCTGAATTCAAATGTTATTAATAAAGAAGGGAGCAATGTGTACAGGAATACCCTACATTTACCTGTTTGATGGAAAGCCAGCCTGAGTAAGCGAGCTAAGTGTGTATCTTGACACTGATGTGTGTGTGGTTGCAGTCGCGGCTGAGAGGATACATGACTGATATGTTAATGCTGCTGTTTGGAGACTGGTCTACAGGAAGATTCAGACTGTTTCAGAAGAGTGCAGGGTTCCCTTTGGGATGAGAGTTCTGTGTTCCCAAGAGAAAAGCCATCCTCTGAACTACTCCGTTTCTGCACTCCCTCACTTTTCTCCCCTCTCACTTTGGTTATATCATCAAAGGGAGAGGATGCACACGAGGGGAGAAAATTGGGGGAGAAGGCTCTGTTTCGTGAATAATGCATTAATAATCATTTGTACTTGCACTTAAAGCAGAAGGGAGGGAGAAATTTAGGGCATGTCGTGGCTGTGGTCATATAAGTTGGTTTTGGCACTCAATTTTCAGGTCACCTTTATGCTCTGTGAATGATTATGTTTCTTCTCTTCTTTCTGTTCTGGCAGACTGTCAGGATATTTCTGTCTCTTTCCCCCCTTGTCCTCATTTTCCCTGTGTGTGTTCCTGCAGCTGCTACCGTGATAGACTATTGACTGAGCTCATTCTGAAGTGTGCCGTGATATGACACAAATCCAGTTTACTCTTACAGCTCAAAACTCCCTTCATGCACCGCAACACCGACTCCAGCAGGAGAGCTTGACTCACGGTGTCACTTTGTGTGACGGCGCTGGTGGGACAGGTGTCAAAAAAATGCAGCAAGTAGGTCTCAGTATAATCTCGTCACAAGCTGAAGACCTGTTCAACACGTAGAAAGATATATATATGAAGATTTGAAGGTGATTACCCACAATGCAACCCACGTACAACAAGCAACATGCTGTTAAATTGCTTTTAAACTCTGCTTCACCCATAACAATAACAACAGATATTATGATATCATTATGGTAGTTTATTTAATTATTAAAGTTTTAAGAAGACATAAGGAATAAGTGCACTCGCACAAATAATTTTTCTGTTGTTTATTGTTCATTGGATCTCTATTATCTTCGCCAACGCAATCACTGAGGTCCACAAATATACACAAATACCTGAATAAAAATAAACTAGATGTTAACAGTAATTGCATTAAGAGATAAGAAAGAAAACAAAAAAGGACTTAAGAAATATAAAATGACAAGACACATGACAAGAATAAAAGAAAAGACGTTCAATTCATTTAATGATTGCAGAGGTTATATGAATGATTGAAACACTATGTGTCTTAATAACCAGTGTTATCAGTTGGACATTGAGGAGCTGTAAAACCAGACCCTGCCACAATGAAATGCCTCGACTGTCCTTTTTATGTGGTCACAGTAATGTCAGTTTCACTTCACAGAACAGGTAAATATTTGCAGGGTGGGTTGCTCTGCTCTGCTCTTACACACACATGCATACGTACACTCACACTGTGTGGATGGCTCGGTCGTACACACTGCTGCTGTCAGTTTGCACAGGGTTCAAAGATTAGTCAGCTCATGGCCAGTGTTTGCTTGTTACAGAGCGAGAGCACCTGCTGCTGCTGTCAGGCCAGACTTGTGATATAATAGCAGAGGCAACATAAAATCTGATAACTGTATGATATTTCTAAATAATTCAGAGGAGGTTAAGGCATCCAGACACATTCAATCAATGACGTGTCCTGAAGTGACCTTGTGATGCTCAGTAGTTGTCTTGTCACACCACACCCATCTGCTACTACAAGAAGTTAAAAAAAACACACACACACACACACACACACACACAGTGAAGTATAATTTACACCATGTGTGATCCACTGGAATAAACTGAGACACAATTTTGTGGGCTCCTTAAAAATAGTGTGGTCTTGAGATTCTGGTTCGTTGTAAGTAGTAAGAGAGAGAAAATTTGAATTTAACACACTGAGTCACCATGGTGTTTAACCATTAGTCAGTTGTTTATTTGTGTGTAAACAATTGCCTATGCCGCTCCAGCTGTTCCGGAGCAACATTATCATTTATTTGTAGTCACATTTGTTTCCACCTGGTGAATGTTAAGTCCAGTATTTACATGTTTTAGCTCTGATTTTGGTCTCTACTAACTCCTGAGGGATGTATCTGGATCTTTGGCTGCTTTTGCTTCACTATGTTCACCAGCTAATCTCTTACTGTCTTTTTCTACTGTTTGGTGCTGAGCAGCTAACGTTGCACACTACAGTTTCAAATTCAAAGTATTATTTCACTTTCAGACGTGGTCAACAGATGCATGCACCCTACACTGTGCTCCAAAATTGGACAAACATGTAAACAATGCTGAATCAGCTAGTAGTCTTCGAGGTTCATTTGATCTCATACAAGGGCACATAACCTTTGATTAGTAGAAGCAGTACAGATGGGATAATAAAATACAATCAACAAAAACATGGACAACAGAAATGTTCTATAGATAATTTAACAAGACTAAGAGTCTACAGTTATGTTCGCCGGCTCTGTGGTGCTTTAAAGCAAATACTAATGCTAGAATGGCAATATGCTCACAATGCCAATGCTAACATGCTAATTCTAGTAGTAAAATGTTAACCATGCAAGTTTAGGTGTTAGGATGCTAACATTTACTTACAAGTACTAAAGGCAAAGTACTAATGGGTACAAATGAGAATGTCATTACTTTTACAGGTATTCTATATAACGTGATGATGGTGCCAAAGGAAAAGTGAAGGGTTTTATTACAAGACATTGCGCTAAAATTTAGGTTATCGCCAAAGTCAAAGGGATTCATCCTCTGGGGACAAAAAAAATGTTTGTACAAAATTTCATGACAATCCATCTAATAGCTGATGAGATATTTCAGTCTGAAACAAAGCAGTAGACCAACCGACTGAAATTACAGCCCCCAGAACCAAGCTGCTAGCTTTAACCATAAATAAGATATATAACTCATCATATAGGAATCTTTCACAAAATTGTATTGTAACTATATCTGAACCTCAGTCCTACCAGTAACAACTCAGGAGCTCATTTGTGCTACACGGCAGCATGTACAGTCACTGACTTATTTCACCTCAATGGGGAGTGAAAGTTGGGTGATTAAATGCCTGTCTCAACTATGTTTCACTGCGTAGGATGCACCCTTTAATCATGAGTGCGTCATGAGTTTGGAAAGACCCTTGATAGATCCACCAAACTTCTAAAACTTAATATACCATGACTGTCTTGTATTTTATTCAATTTAACAGCACATTGCTAAAGAGGCTGAGCCTCCTAAGAGCGAAGTGATCCACTTCTCAGAGTTCACCAGAAGTTCACTCAAAGCATTCAGAGTTCATTTTGGTATACAGCAATGTTCAGTAGGATTTGGCTCCAACTGCAAAAAGTGGCTGTCACAGCGATTCAGGCAGCATTAGGTCTCAGATAAAACAACAAAACAGATTAAAAGCTGCGATTTCCCACCAAGCCTCGGGGCGTGTAACTGATATTGTCCTCAATCTGCCATTGACTTCTTTTCTTGTTGGTCAAAATCAAGGATCTGCAACCTTTTTTTTTTCTTTCATGGCTCAAAAAAATATTTCTGTGAAGATGGACAGAAATTACACACATTGATTTTATATGGGTAAAAGAAATCTAAAATACAGTGAAGGACAATCAAAACATAACAGAGTGAAAACATCATTTTATTTTAGGTTCATTAGCTGAATGCAGCTGCCACTGTGCTCAAACTGTCTCTAATCAAGTGGTACGTTTCCACTGACTTTTCACATCTCTGACCTTTACTCTGATACGCCTTAGCCTCCTACACCTGTTGCCAACTTACAGATGGCTCAGAGGCTGTCAGCACCTCAGTAGTTATTTCATAAAATCTAGCTGTCCTGCTGGCACTCTCCTCTGCCCCATACATCAGTGACTCATTTTGTTCTACAACTGTGGGACTTAGTTTCCAGTTGGTACAACCTGTACAGGCACATTTTTGTGGAGAGAGCTCCCTGTGAAACTGGCTCAGACTGCTGATTGTTTTGGTCAATAAATAACCTTAGAAGCCACATTCAGGTGCAGTCTAGACACTATACTAGCCTTGCGTAAATATCTAATGCTTCTTGTGTCTACTGCTTTCTACTGGCCAAACAAAATGAAATTGATATTCATCTTGCCCCTGACAGTTCAATATAGAGTGAATTTCAAACACTACAAAGCCAGAGTTGTGTGATTAAAGCCAAACTCTGTCTCTGTCGGCTTCACCTTTTCCACAAAATGTTTTCATGCACCAGTTTTAGTCCAAGTTGCTCATCCTTCACCGTGAATGATGAAACTATTTATCCTCTGCTGTGTCAGTTTTGGCTTCAACATACCATATTTGTTACTAACTTGGCTTCTATTTGAAGATGCAGATGTTTCTGAGAAAAAGAGCGCACACCAGAAAGTAAGAATACTGATATTTTATTAAAAAGTCAAATTAAGACATCAGTCGGTGGTCACGGCTAACCGGCCGTCCTCGCTGTTCATTGTCTTATCACAAGGTTTACAGATGGCAGTGATGTCGGTCTGGCCTGGGGGATGCTCACCAGCTCAACGCAAATAAAACAGGGAGAACTACAGTCTTCATCCATAGCCTTTATTGGAAATTCTTTACATGTGAATCCTCCGAACCTGCCCAAACCCAGCTTTAGAGACTATAATATATATATAAAAAAAGGAAGTGTAAAAGACTTTTGCAGTTCCTCCAAGAACAAAGAAAGCATTTACAGTCAGGTCTCAACTTGAGAAGGGCAGCCAACCTTTTCGTTTGTTCGTTGAAATGTCAAACAATTATAAAAGTGATTTTAACAATTATTAATCGTGTCAGGAACAAAGCTGAATTAAAACAAAAAATAATAAGCTGGGGGGGAGCGCAAATGAAATCAGTAAAGTCTGGATAACCGCTCTAGAGAAACACAGGAGAACAGCACAGTACAGACAAACCAACCACTGCCATATCAGTGTGTATGTATGCAGCTATATATATATAGCTGGCAACCTCCCCACAAACTACAAGAATTTCAGCACGTTTGAAAAGTTTTCGTTTAGTGAGTGTGTGGTGTCCAAGTCAAAATTTTAATAAACTTGGTGAAGCAGTTTTCATCCAAGCACTATGAAGCTCACCATGCCCTTTCATACCACTGCACACGCGCGCACGCACGCACGCCAGGTGTTACACCCATCCAGCTAACAGCTGCTGCCGATGAACTGCTGGGGAAAAAAGCACTCAAAATGCAGGAATAGAGCGCCACCTGGTGACTGAGCCAGGGCACGCAGGGAAGGAGCAGTTTTCACCCACATGTTTGTCACTAAATTATTTTAATCAGTGGCAGGGGCTTTAGGTGTTTTTTTTTACAAAATGTACAAGTGACGAGTTCAACCATTTCTGCTGTGACAAAAGCAAAATAAGTCCAACATGTTCTCCGCGTCGACTAGGAGAGCCCTGGTTTCAACTTGCGATTTATTGGATATGATTAAGATCGACTAACAAAGTTGTCATTTACAATACCAAATAAAATGTGCAAAAAATATCAAATATTCAAAAATGCCCATTTTCTTAACAAACGTCATATTTGTTTTTTTAAACACTGTTTACAAATGTTTATGCACATAATTTCAATAAAGTATGGTCCTGCAGCTGCTGGCATAATAGGTGCACTTGACACAGGAGGAGTGCAAACTGACATTGAGGTACCGGTTCTTTTAAAGTGGCAGGGCACTACAGAGGAGGAGAGGCTGGTCAGCTCTACACGCCAAGAATGAGACTCCAAAGTCGGACCCCTATTTTTGAAAACATCATGGCACCAAGAGCTGAGATGAAACTTGTGTTTTAGCACTAAAGTGTTGTGACTACATGTGTGATCTGCAGTCTCGACCCAGCTTTTGACAAATCTGGATTGGAATTTTTTATTTATTTTTTTTACTACATCTACTAAAATACTATCATGTTTATCTATATACTTGCATTTGACCAAAGATAATCTTGGTGTCAAGATGCTTAGTAATAAGAGATACAGGTGTCAGGAAAAATTCACATCAGCGTTGTTTTTAAACCAAGACAGACGTCCCCGGAGGAGTTCGTCTCTCTTTAACAAGAAGTACTTTGTGTCATTGAAAACAACTTGACTTGTGTGAGGGACAAACATTTTACAGCTAGATTTAACTATCCCAAAACACCCCAGTAAAGTGATGGCTGGACTACGTGTGTCAGGAGTGAAGACAGATCTCACATTACACTGTTCTGGTGTCTGGGGAGCGCAAAAAAACCCCCAAAAAACAAACAGTTCAAAGGACAACATTTCAAGTCAAATTACACTTGTGTGTGAGGTTGTCAAACTTTGAACTGAAATTCAAATCAAAAAGAGTCGTAAGAGCTATGAGGACCTCTCCGTTATCGCAAATGTCTCATTTTTCTTGGTTGAAAAAACAAACAAAGAAAAAAACATCACCAATATTAAACATGTTACAAATATAAATCACTTTTCTTTTGTCGTTGTCAAAATATGAACAGAAATTCAATAACACAAAAAAGTCCTTCTGAGGATTAAGTCCCGCTGGCTGGAGGAGGAGGAGACCGTGGGGGGCTCCTGATCATTTTTAGAAGAGCGGGACAGAAATTTTAAAGCAAAGAAAGACCCCCCCTTCAAAAAAAGCACACTGGACTTCATGAGCGTTTCTGTCTCTTGGAATGTCGCTGCTGGCTGGACTGGTCCTCATCGCTGCTAACCCCCCCAGCGTCACCCCGGCCTCCCCGCTGACGAGTTCTCCGTGTGTCCCGCTCGCCATCGCTATCCTGCTCCCTGTAATCCTTCTTGCCTGAGGTGGCAGAGGTCCGCTTACTTCTCCTCCTGCCATCATCCTCATCCTCCTCATCACTGTCGCTTTCCTCATCCCTCCGTCCCCGATCATTTCTGGCTTTCTTCCTGTTGGATTTGCCATTCTGCATCTTCTTCGGTTCTTTTTCCTCTTCCTGCTCTTCCTCCTCCTCCTCCTCCTCCTCCTCGGATGTTGCAGGGGCTCGGCTGATGCGTTTTCGTGAGCGCCGGCGGAGGTAGCTGAGGCCAGGCAGCAGCTTCTGGAGCAGCTCTGTGAACGTCTGCTCCGTCTTTACCATGCAGGAGAGCACGGTGCTGCCCTGCTGGTTGTACTCCTCTGCGTTGGAGAAGACCAGTTTCAAGTCTTCCAGGAAGTCCTGGGCATTACGATATGAGCCCTGGCTGAACTTTCCCAGCATCGTCTGGAAGTCCATGGGCTGGGAGATGATATCCAAGTAATCCTCTGCCTCATCCGGAGACACAGGCTCCCTGTAAGAGGAGAGGTGCATTTACATTAAGGATCATAAAAATTCACGAGTCATGCAGGTAGTAGGATATGTCCATGTACTCTATGACAAACATAAACAGGATTAGCATGTTCAGTGTGACACGTGGGGAAGTCTCTAAGATGAGCTCTGGAATGTTTAAGTGTAAAAGCAGAAAATGATTTATTTTCTTTTATACGAGAACAACTGCAACTAGGAATGAAGCTGTATGAAAATTTCATATCACGATTATAGTGACCAAAATTATCACGGTTATCAGTATTATCACGGTGTTGTAAAAATGTGCCAAAAAAATATTAAAATGTACTGATACACACACACACACACACACACACACACAAAACCATTTCAACAGCCAATTAAAACAGCCAATACCTTTTGTAAATGTATGAAAACCATCTACGTGCGCATTATCAAGATTTTATATCATATAGTTAATGCAATGACCCCATGCACATTTACATGAAAACAAACAAGTCTTTAGACAGTGATAGTAACTGCAATGAGCCCAACAACTGACACAAACACAGCAGTCTGTATCATTTCTCCTGTTCCAACACTTTTACAACCAATTAGACAGCTGCTGGATTTAAAATGAACAAGATATGCTGGTTGGTTGACTAAACTGCGCAACGAGTTATCGTGTGCAGTGGACGAATAGTCTGCAGACACAGGAGACAGACAGACAGACAGACACACACACACACACACACACACAACACACACACACACAAGAGCAGCTAACACTAAGAGCTTCAGTTTTCAAGTCGTTTAAGTCAGAGAGACAAACCAAAGCTAAAAGTTAATTCACTCTGCGTTCGCTATATGGTAATTTTCTTCTATCGAGTTTCCCTCAGCACTCTCATAAAAACTAAAATACAACCAGACTTCAGAGTGACTGAAAAATCTCTGCAGCAACATTTTCCACTGTGTTGTCATTGACCCAAACAAACATTTGCACACTGCGCATGCCTGCCTGCTTCAGGGAGACCGTCGCTAACTTTGGTTGATGCTGGACAGTATTTGCCGTGAGTTTATAACAGCCCGGTAACTGAACCCGGTTATCATGGTAATTAAAATGTATACGGTAATAATAACAGTCGGGAATTTTACCATGGTTTCTCGTTAAACCAGTAATAGTTTCATCCCTAACTGCAAAATATTTAATCTAGGGTGATCTGGTTATGTTGTTTCAGACTAAACAGCAACATATTAAAGGTTTATTTCCGTATCTTAATCTTTCAGTGGCTCTTCCAGTGGTACACCCATACAAAATTGCTCAGGTAAAAGTAAATATTACCATCTGACAAACCTACTCAAGTATAAAAGTACTTGGTCAACAAACTACTCAAAGTTCAAGTGCTGCAATCCTTTTTAGGGTGTGCAGGCCAGAGATCTTCACAAGTAGTTTTACACAAGTGCAAGTCAAGTCTCTTTTTGGACTAATAAGTGTTTCACCTGCTGTACATCACGATAGAAATAGCCACTGGGCAACATGGTTATTTCTAGGGAATGCACTTTGCCGATTAGGGATGGGAATCGATACCGGTTTCGAACGATACCCGGCTTATTAACTTATTAATTAGCCAAAGCTAAACAGAAAGCTGTTATAGCATAGACTGGTCTGTAGTCTTAAAATCTGGCACATTGTTGTAAACTCAGCTGCTGGCTGAGACAAACCACCCGCTCCTCTTTCGACCAGGTAACGTTACCTGCACGCAGGTAAGACTGATTAATGTTGCTGCTCTAGAAACAACATTTAGCTGTTTTTAAAATATTAAAGTCTAATCCTATAATTAAGTATCGATAGTGGTATCAATAAAGAATCGGATCATTAAGCAGTCTCAATAAAAGGTATCAATAAAAATTAACAAACCCCATCCCTAATGCTGTTTATTTCTAAATTTACCCATTTCTGTTTAACTACACAAAAGATATCATACTTGCTGCCTAGCATGATACAGTTTCCTGTTCCTATCTGTTGTTATCTTGAGATGGACATGTAGCCAACCAAACCACTTGCTCTGATATGAAGCCACATGCTTGTATGTTGTTCCTCAAATGTAAAATCACTTTGGATAAAAGCGTCTGCCAAATGAGTTAATGTAATGTAATGAAGGGCGCTGCTCCAGGGTAGCTAATAAACTGGATATACATGTACAGATTATGCTCCTTGCTCACCTGAAAGGCCAGCTGTAGCGGAACTTTGTCAGTTTCTTGAGGATTTCCTCACATCTCTCCAGCTCCAGCGCCTGCCTCCTTACTCCTGACTGAGCGCTCTGTCGCACCTGCAGAAACGAAAGAAACTGACTATGCTCTCAAGGAAGATTTTGATAACAAATGTCTGCAGGTTGCTGAAATGTCAATGAACTCCTGCCCTCATGTGTTTCCTGATTTACGTGTCAGTGTCCTGGGGGGTTTCTTACCAGTTCATCAATGTCTGCAGGGCTGTTGGGGCCAGTTCTCTGTTTGTTGTTCTGACTACTTGAAGACGACTGCTTCTTGGGTTTACTTTTTGAACTTTTCTGCCGAGACGAAGACTGCTTATTTTTCTTCCTTGGTCTCACTGTAGAGAAATAATGAGGTGACGAGGACAAGAAGAAGACAGCAGAGGAACAATTTAAGAAACCCTGAAGGAAACGGGAGCAAGTGCTGAAAAGGCACAGGGATGGTAGCACGAAAATCTGACCAAAATTAACTTTCATGTCACACAACCTGTAGACAGGGAATTAATGGAATAAGGTTGTTTGAAAGTGATGTTTAAGAATTCCTGACAAGTGCACAAAAATACGTCTACTGGCTGAAAGGTTCACTACGTGCACCATGAGAGTATTAAACGTTACGAATATGCCCCAAATCTGCTAATGAAATAAGAAATACCAAGTAAAATGAAAGCTTAATTGTTCATTACATTATTATCATTTACATTTGTGCCAAACCCAGACACACTAGAAATGAGAAAAATAACTCTGGTCGTAAGTGCATTGCGATCCTCTCGGGAACTATTCAGCAATGATGCATGAAACGTTTTAATCTTTCTGCTTGACATGCAGGCTTGAACCGACAGAGGGGATCATCCTGCCACATACTCAGAGTGAAGCCAGAGTGAGACGCGGCTTCAAAGCAAAAAGGTCCAGACTTGAGCTGTGCTACATGACAACACACAGACAATAGAGACAGGGGCCGAAATTCCTGGTCAGCATTCCTCTCATTCCCAAACCACCAAATCGAATTATCCAAAAAGCTAGGTGCCAGATTTACATATAAATCATCAACAATAACGTGGATGGAACATTTTGAGCATATTTATCACCATCTGTCTACTGATGTGGGACACCAACGTCTACTTTTTAAAAACCCTTCTCGAGGGGAGACAGTTTTGTGAAACCCGGGCTTAATTTTCTCTCGCTGATACTCACAGCTGTGTCCCATGGCTTTGTAGTCATTCTCTTCCTCCTCCTCTTCATCTTCCTCAGAGTACTCCTCTTCAGACTCCTCCTCATCCTCTTCTTCATCGGTGTCTTGGTTATAGTTCCTGCAATGGAGCAGTTGCACATAAAAAAATAAATTAAAAAAATCACATGAATGATAAAGATAGAACTTGTTCTGTCGGCAGAGAAGAGGCAGGATTTACTGCAGAGGCTTTCTTAAATTAGGGGACATTATTACATACATTGGGTTCATATTAATGCCGAAATACTACGTCAGAATCTCACAAATACTTATTTTCCTTAAATTTTTCGGGCTGAGGTGACGCACACTGAGGGGAGAAGGACTACAGTTGTCTCCCTGGCTTCAATAAAACTTTAGTACAACTGCAGCTTTAAGAACGTTGTCTTTTAGAAAACAAGAGGAAAAGATCAGAAACCTGCAGAGGTAACCTGAAAACAACTCATTCAGCATCATTTGTCTACAGTTTGTGAGAAAAAGTGTAAACCGTGGCTGCCAAGAGAGTGAGGGATGAATTAGTTAAGTCATTTGTCAGTTCTTGGTCTGCACAAAAGTTAAACGCTACTTCTTATATAAGTGAGGAGACATGAACTCTATAGTTACCCTGATGTAGTACCACAATTTATATGTTCAATGAAGGACAGTGACAAACCCAAGCAGTATGAGGAGGACAGTTACCTTGAGCGTGAGCCACGTCTGGCCACGGTGGGCTGGCAGGCCGGGCACAGCCACTCTCCGCTAGGAATGCGATACAGGGCCGGTCGCAGACAGAACAGGTGGAAGGCCTTGTTGCATTCATCACAGAGGATGAGTTTCTCATCATCACCTAGAAGAGATGTGTCACAGGACTGAACTAAACATTCATCAATTCAGTGTCCCCACATTTCTGTTGTTCCTGTCTTCTTTCTGCTCAGCACTCCCTGATAAGGCCGGCAAAGATCTTGCACATTTTCCTGTGCAAGTAACCACGTTTTTATTGTCATTTTAGCACTACAGGGTCACCTGTTGGACTGCGGAGCTGCCAGTTCTGTATGTAGACCTGCCTGACACTACTGAACCTGCCGTGGCTGCACTGTTTGGATCTGGGCTTAGACTCCGTCAGCCTCAGCACAGATGGGCTCTGCCTGAACACTAGACAGGGGGCAGAAGACCGTTGGGTAGTAGTGTAGCATGGCTAAGTCCAGCACACCTATTAGTAAGGTGTCTCTCTCGACAAAAAAAGCTGTGTCACAACAAAAGTCTTTTTATGTGAATAAAGGCATAATGCTCTCACTGGCTGCAAATAACATGTGATGTACATTTTATTTAATTTTCCTTTTGTGTGACCAAAGGCAGTTGAAAAAAGTCCTTACCTTTCCTGCGACAGACTTTGCAGCGAGCGTTCTCTGCAGACATGTCCCACTTTATGCAAGCGTCCAACATTCCCAGCAGGACGTGCATGCGGGAAAAGGACTGGGCTTCTCGGATAGCAGTCTTCCACTTCTCTACCGCTGTCGCTACCTACGAGGGAAAACCCGGTAAAGTCTTTATATTAAGAAAATATATATATATATATATATATATATATATATATATATATATATATATATATATATATATATATATATATATATATATATATATATATATATATATATATATATATATATATATATATACTTTGTCTTTAATGTAGCTTAATGGGAATTACAAAGACTTAAATACCTATGCAAACCATCTCAGCATTCTTTTTAAATAAATGGTCCCTGTTAACAGAGACACACACTATAACTGAACACTAATATTGCACTCTTTTCTCTTACCCTGGCCTCTTCTGCCAGTCTCTTCTCCTCGTCCACCTCTTCGGCCTTGCTGTTTTCTTCCCCTCCTTGCTTTTTCTTCTTTTTCTGCTTGGGGGCCATGAATCCCTGCAGGAACTTTTTGATGACACAGGCCTGAATAGTGATGATGCACTCGCCAAACTCTTTCAAGCTTTCCATGTTGTTCAACTGCAAATTGAGGATGAAACGGAAAAACTGTATGAATGAATCACAATTACCAACGCAGACATACTACATGAGCTATAAAACCATCAACACATCACTGTGTAATAAAACACAATACATCCTCTTTATGTTTCCTGCCTACGCCCTGACATGGATGAATATTGACAGAAGTGTCAAGACAAGTGTTGACTGAAGTCTGTACACTTTCACTCGACCCCAAGATAAAGGAAGTATCCTTTGCTGAGTATTCGGAGAACATCGATGTTGAAATTCCAGGGCTAGTAATATCTTATGTAGTCAACAAACTAATCACCTGATCTTCGATGTCTATGTTATCATCCAGGTATCCCAAGCCTCCCTTCTGGAGTCGCGAGGCTATTTCCTGTATGTCACTGCGCAGGTATTTGAGCAGCTCCGTGTAGCCATCACAGCTCCTGAGGCCTACCTTGCCCTTGCGGGTCAGATGGATGGAGTGGAGGATTTCCTGGTATCTGAAACATGGAAAGGACAGCTTTCTGTTCAGCTACATATTTACTCTATCACTGCTGTTAAAAACATGATTGCCAGCTCCGGATGTTTTGTCTCCCTCTTTTTTGAAAGCTAGCATTGTACATGCTTTCTTGTAGATGCTGTTCATTCCAAAATAAAGGCATTTCTGGATCAATCCAACAGATCTCTAAAAGCTGGTAAAAAACAAGCAATGCTTTAGCAGCGCAGTTAAACTGGATGGTTTCATGTTTGTTAAAGCAATCATCTCTTATGATGAGAGTGCCTGCACCTGCTTTTTATCTTCGCCTTCAGTTCACTCTCTCGAACTCCCTGAGGATGAAGACTTTCCACTAGTTCCTCCAGCTCAGCAGTGTTGTCACATATGAACCTGTATTCAGAGGCAGAAAAGAAACAGAATTAAAGACAGTCTAATCCATTTCCTTTGATTGACTACATCTTTTTACAGACAGCAAGACAAAACTCTTACCAGAGGTTCTGTCCCTGCTTGGGAACAGTAGTTTCTATACAGATGTCTGCTACTGCCCCCTGCTGGGCTCCCTCACTAATCGCACCATCTATGCTGCCCTCATCCTTTTCAGCTCCTACAACATAAACAGTAATTAATCATCTATAACATTTTATATATTGAAGTCGATATCAAAAGTAAAACAATCTAAATTTTTTAAAACTTTTTAATGACAGTAAGTTCAGGTACGGTACCTTGTGAATCCTGAGTGATGGTCGACCCACCATCCTCTTCCTCTTCTACCTCAGGCTCAGCTGGTTTGTCCTCAGGTGGAGGGGTGAAGCTGTAGTCGATGCTTTCGTGCACCCAGCCTTTCTCAATGTACAGCCCAGGAACCACGTCAGAGAAAAGCCAGTACCTGAACAAAAGCAAACCATGGTTATAAAGTTATTAAAAGAATTTTAATTTATCCGATTGTGCTCTTTCATCGTACGTGTGCAGCACTAACCTGTTGTGATTTCTGTCAGTACCCAGCGGGGTCCTGCGCATGACAAGCCTGGCTTTGGTTATACCATCCTGGAAGGCCCTTTCCGTAGCAGCCCTCTGTCTACGCATCCGCTCTTCTTCAGCCTCCTTCTCCATGCGCTCTGTGGGGGAATAAAACAGCAACAAATAAGAGCCAGGTATAGGGATTGAAAAATCAGTTCAGTAATTAATGATAAACCGCTGCCTGTGCTCAAAATGACATTACTCAGTGGTGGAAAATGATGCGTCACACAATCCAGTAAACCATCACACTTTTTAAAACCACATTTTGAGATGAATTATCTGTTTGTTTACCTTTGTTCTGTCTGTCCATCTCCTCCTTCTCCTTCTTGGCCTGCATGGCCATCAGACGCCGGCTCTTCACTGAGCTGATCATGTCGTCTGGCTCTGGCTCCGGCTCCACCTTTACCTCTTTTTTGATCTCCTTCTTAGCAGCCCCCTCTTTCTTTTTCTCACCTGTGACACCAGGGGGAATAAAGAGACAAAAATTATTAATATATTGGTAAAAAGTTGTATTCATATTAGTGAGGATATTAATAAAAGACTATTAAAAGGTTTATTTTCCTCTTACTTTTTGACAATAATCAAAACATTCATAATAAATGCGTTACCAAACAAGATGTCTTGCTATTTTGTACGCATTATATAAGATTTTACAGCACTTAAACTGAGTGAAGAAAGAAGTAGAAATCATAGTCATTCAATCATTAAATCTTTTTAATTAAATCAATGCTAAATTAAAAAACTGTAGGTAGATCTCTGGTGGTCTCCACCTACCTTTGACCTCCATCTCCTTTCGCTTCTTCTTCTCTTCCTTCTTGCGGTCATTGACCTCTTTCAGCATTGCCAGACGCTCCTTCCACAGCTCAGCAGACCGTTGCTGCTTTGCATCAACATGGTCTTCAACAGAGTACGTCATTAGTATGCGGTGGCACAGTGCCACCAGTAGGCTGACCTTCTCCTCTGGGCTCAGCTCAAACACCTCAACTGTCTCAAGCTTATCCAAGAACTCACTGGTCACCACGTCATCAAAGCCGCCCAGCGCACCAGAGTCCTCTGAGCCCTGGCCGCTCTCCTCGCCGTGAGCGTCATATGGTCGCAAGCACAAACGTGCCAGCTCTGACGCAGAGTGCATGGTCAGGGGGATCTCAGATAAGGGGACATCGAGCTCGCTGTAACCTTCTGCCAGCTCATCCTGCAGCAGCGTCTGAAGCAGCACCACCAGCACCCTGTTCAGATAGAGGAAGCCAGACCGCTCCCCAGCCAGTGCGTCCATCAGAGCCACCGCTGTGATGGGATACTGGTCATCCGGCATCAGCAGCCCTGCATAGCAGTGAAGGAAGTCCACGACCATAGCCACATCACCGAACAGAGTGTTGGGCAAACCCTCGGGCATGTCTACGAGTTTGAACGCCGGCAGACTCTTGTCACCTTCAATCTCCTGGTCCTCATATCTGCGTGATTGTTCACGGCGGACCAGCATCTCCTTCTCGCGTCGCTCCTTGGCCTTTTCTCGCAGTTTCTCTTTGAGTTCCTCTCGCCTTTTCTTTATCTCTTCCTGCCTTTCCTCTTCACTCATGGCCGCCCACCGCTTCTTTTGCTCCAGTAGCTCCCAGCGTTTCTGCACCAGCTCCTTGAGCTCTTCTGGCAGCCGGTTCCGATCATCTGGGGACAAGGTTTTCGCAGCCTTGGAGATGAGGGAGGAAAGGGAGTTCTTTTTGTCTTCTTTGCCTTTGTTCTCCTTATAGTAACGAAGGAGATGCAGAGCCATAGGGTGCAGTGGCTTCCCCAGTTTAGGCGTACCCATGCTATTACTACGGGCTCTCTTCTTAGGGCTCCCAGCAGGAGTGCTCTTAGCCAGATGCAGCAGAGTCATCTGCTTCATCTTCGGTGTCTTAGCGCCTGCTTTCCCTTCCTTTTTAGAAGCTTTGAGGACGTTGAGCTTCTTATCGCCGCTCTTTCCAGTTCTCTTTCCTTCTTTCTTTTCCCCAGACTTTCTGCTTGATTTTGGAGTGGAGGGAGCCGAGCCTTTTCCTTCTCCTTTCTTTGGAGTTCCTGAGTTCTTTACCTTAAGTGGGGAGCCATTCATTTTTATTTTCTGAAATATAGACAATATGATGTCATTAAGCAAAGCCTTGACTTTCAAGGGATACCCCACAAGCATCAAGTAAGATCTTAACTGATATATGATAATGTGCATTCAAGCGATCTAACCTGCATGTGGCCCCAAATGGTCGGAGAAAGGGGCATGCCTAACGAGTCTTTCTTCTTTTTCTTTTTCTTCTCTCCCTTCTCATTTCCTGACTCCTCTCCTGGTGTGTCAGAGGTCTTGAGCTTCTTGCTAGGTTTACCCTCTGGAGATGTCAAGCTCTTACGTTTAGTGGAAGGATTCTCTGCTAAAAACTTTGGACAAACAAGAGTGTGAGCCAAGAACAAGGAAAAATCTTTTGAAATCATGTAAAATGCAAATAACTACCATGAGAAAATTACCTTGTGTGGATCAAGCAGAAAGTCACTGAATTTGCTGGGGAGGTTAAATTTTTTAACCAGTTCATCTTCAACCACCCAGGGAGCGCTCTCTCCCATGCCAAGCCTCAGAGCATAATGCCTAATGAAGTAGCGCATGATCTCCTTGGTTGGAGGGCGCTCCGTTCTGTAAAGACTGTCGACTGGGACATCACTGATCACCTATGAGAGAAGTCAATGAGGAAGATTCAGCTTCAATTTCTTATCAAAATGCAAAGCGCAAAAGATCATGAACCACACGTGGAATTTTGAGACACCCATTATCAACAAAGCTGCCAAAAATAATCAACTGTAGCACAGAAATCTGCCAAAGAGTAATATACGATCAAAGGTTTTAAAGAAAATAATAATTATTTTCTGGGATCAAGGAGGAAAATACATTTACACTTTTTTCTGGCCGGGTTTACAAACCTTATCCTCATTGATGAGCTTCACGTCGTACTTATGAGGAAGGAATTTTGGCATCACCCATTTCTTCTTCTCTTCCTTCATGGCAGTGGGTAGTTTCCTCGGTGAACGTCGTGCTCTGTCACCTGATAGGAAGTGAAACAATATAGTGTAAAAAAAAAAAAAGGAGTTTATCCATGTTGCATGACTACATTATGTGATTCAAAACTTGTTTGTTTACACACTAATTGGTACTCACTGAGACTCTCCCTCCTGTTCTCCTCCTCTCTGGGAGGAGGTTCCTTCCTCTGGTTCTCCTGACTTGCATTCTCCTTATCGCTGGATGGTGAGTCACAGGCGCCTTCAAGCTTCTTCTCCCCTGTCTCGCCCTCTGGGTTTTCTAAGGGGTGTATCTTCACCACCTTCACCTGCAAAGTTTTGTCCTTCCCCACCTGAATCGAAAAATTATTGTGAGCATCTCAGAAAACACCAAGACAAAGTTTTCAACTAAACACCCGTTTACCACTGAGATTGGGTGTCATTTTGAGTTCACATTAATGCAGAGTCAAAATAGACTTTACTGCACAGAAATACTTTAGTGCATTGATTAATACTTATTTAATACTTCTCCAATACATCCCAAAGTAAAGCAATAAAACACTTGTATAAAATATAATTTTTTTATAATGTGTAATAGATGCCAACCGACATGAGATTTCTAAGACCGATACTATATCAATACATACCAATATTCTTTTTTCATCTTACTTTCAGAGATGTCTAACACAAACAAAGATTATCCCTAACATTTGTTATGTGTAGTAATGAATTCTCAACAAGATGACATAATGCTGTTTAAAAATAAATGTGTTTTTTTTTTTAATTAATAGCACTTTTAACAGCTGATTGCTGTGGTTTGTGGTGGACTTGTGGTTTCAAACAAGTGTTGCCAACAGAGGAGTTGCAGAGTGCCCTCTGATGGACAAACTATGAAACAACAACACTCTTAAAATCATTAAGGGATCTCTCTCTTTTTTAATTGCCATGTATTGGCTATTACAAACACATATACCAATTAATCCGCAATTAGATCATATCCGCCGAAAATAACCTGCATAACGATGTATCAGTTGGGCTCTAATGTGTAACCAGCCAACATAACAGACAAGTTTAGAAATGAAAGAAGTCAAACTGACCAGGAAGTCACACTCTTCATCCACAGCATACTTTGTGAGGATTTCCACCCAGGCCATTTCAACCAGTTTGTCTAAAGACACTGTGTTGTGGTGGACCATCTCCAAGACCGGCTTCTCAAACCACGTGGGATACTCCTCTTGAAGCCTGCACACAGAAAATAGTCAGTACAAGTAAAGCTTTAACTATAAAAAACAAACCCAGTATAATGTAGTTTGTGTCTTGCATTCCCATCATAATGTGCTCGACTTTTTTTCAGTATAATGTGAGACACTGTTTTTATTGTCCTGACTGCCTTTTAAAAAACAGGCCATCGCTACATCAGTCCTAAATTTAATTTGTTCATGGGTGTGATGCACTCTATTCAACATGATTTCTTTCACATTGTTCGGCTGAGATGCCATCATAACAGGGACCAGACCATTATATAACAGGGCAACAAAGGGCTCAGAGTGACCAGTAGGGGGAGTAAAATCTCTTTGCTGATATAATTAGAAAAGCTTAAATACAGGCTGTGATCCTGAGTGACTTGAGCTCTGGGTTTGGTTCACCTTTCTCTCACTGACAGCACATATACAGTGAAGTGAAAGAGATCAGCTGAACTATTTTTGGGGCCATCTTCTTCCCTTTTACATATCAGGATATGGGAACTCTCACCACGCCATTGCAGACTCAAGGATGACTCAATCACACGCCCTCTAAATAGAATGAGAGGAGGAGCACCAGGTTCATCCAATCATAGCAAAGCTGCAAGCCTTGTGACCTTCACTGGGAGAGTATGGCTCTTTCCTGACACTACTGAGTCTGTGTTGGAGACACTAACCTGTATTTCTGGGCAAGTAATACATACAGAGATCAATGAGAACCAGCACTTTTCTGGACATCTGAATCCAAATCACCGCCATCTACCAGGGCTGTCACTAATGATTATTTTCATAGTCGATTATTTGGTCTTTAAAACATCGTAAAAATGTCAGTGTTTCAAGTCCAAGAGGATGTCCTCAAATGTCTTGTTTTGTCCACAACCCAAAATGTATTCAATTTACCGTCAGAGTGAATAAACCAGAAAATATTCCCATTTAATAAGGTGAAATCGAAGAATTCGTCTTAAAAATGGCCTCAAACCAATTTTCACAATAGTTGGCCATTCATTTAATAGTTAATAACTAATAGATTAATTGTTGCAGCGCTACCATCTACTGAACTGTACCTGTGTATTCTTCACAGAACACAGTCCATAAAAAAATAAAAATAATAATAATAATCTGTATAGGCCCTGCAGTGTAATCAGGAGAGAGTAGACTAATGCCTCTTATTCACAATTTGGATGGGATCGCAAACACGCACACAAACATTGGATGTAATACTAACAGTTCAGTGACTTCTTGTTCCTCCTCCCATGCTTCTTTGTGTGTAAGCTGGCTGCTCCCAGTGCTCTTGCATGTCCAGATGCGCTCACCATACCTCTGCAAGCGTGCCTCATACTCTCTGTAGACATTTTGTCAAGGAAATTGCAATATCCACCTGCTAAACAGTCCCTACTCACTAATTACAAGCAAGACATACATGGTCCACATTAGTGTCAGTACTTTCAAAAGAGGCTGAGGCCAACGGACACCCAGCATACACAGACATCATTTCATTACAAAACCTAAATGCGTGCAAATGGGTATAATTAACAATGCAAAACTGGGGACAAGTTAGGGTGTTGTGAAAGAATAATGATGGTGGGGGAAGCTGGAAATAACTCCCGGCTACAGAACATGAAGAGAAGTTCTGTGGGGAAACCAAACACTTCTTGGTAGGAGTAACAAAGTTAGGCTGAGTTACATCTGCTGACTGTAAAAACAGTAAAGTGCATGAAACTTCCTGGGCAAATTCTCAGTGTTAGACGGGATACTGTATGGTAGAAGGGAGGCATGTGTTTCACATAGCTTTTCGTCAAGCAGTGATGATAGATTTCGGGATAGATACAAACAGTAAAGTCAATAACAGCTATGTCACTGCATGAATCCTAATCTACTACAATTTATAATAACTTAGGACGTCATTAAAACATCTAACTTAAAGGCCACTTTCAGCACTACGTGTCTCACGGTTGGAGTCGTCATTCCTGGCTTCATGATCTTGCTGACAGTTGACCGCTGACGCCTAAAGTTTTCAGATAAACACCAGAACAAGTGGCTAAAGTTACCCAACAATTACACAAGAACCAAACCATCTACACAAAAATGCTGTCACGAATCAGTAAACTGTTCTTAGTCTGCTGTTGTCCTCTCTAGGAAAACTTAACAATCACAAATGTACCGGTAGCTAAGGCTAGCGTGCTAACAGCTAACTAAGCAGCCGAGCAGCATCTTCAGCCCGTTGAAGCAGACGACGGGCTATTGTGACATAATGGGACACCTAACGTTAGCAGCCGTGCTAGCTAACCCTGCTAGCATCAGTAGCTGACAGCCGGGACGTCAAACCTGAAAGTGAAAGGACGCAATTATGCAGCTTTCTACATTTAACTAAGCGTGGAAATTTAGGAATGTGGCAAACAAAATCGCATCTTTCAGCTTGCTTAGTTAAATATTCAGCTAGCTTAGTTGCAATGAGTTGATTAGCAACGCGAAACATTAGCTAGCTAGCTTGTCATCCAGTGTAAACTGTGTACATGCGGGAGGAAATCTAAACGAGGTGAAAATGTCAGGTAACATTAAATTACGTTGTTTGACCAGCCCGGTGCATGTGAGCGTGTGAACATCAACTTAGCCAGGCAGACAAATCCAGTTTACATTAAACAGCATGCCGGTTGGCTCGATAAGTGGAGCCTCAGCATCATGTTAAAGGATACTCTTTGTTCCTGAAGGCCTCCTTGGTGTGCTCGATGATGTAGACCTCCTCTCCCGGGCCTGGTGGCTCGGCTAGCGGCTTAGCCAGTGGGTACGGTTTCCGGCCTAAAAGCGGTGCCATTTCAAATCCACAGATGGCACCGGAAAAAATAAAACTTCTAGCAACACACTAGCGCAATAGTATACAATAATGTCCTTAGCATGTATCCGTGTGTCCAGAAATATCTTAGCACGCTTCACGTTACAGCCGGCAGGCCCGGCACTCAACGTGTAGCAGCTAGCTCACTAGCTAGCAGGCTGGATTGCTATCTCGTTGCAAAACAATAACAGTGCGCTTCTTGCCACCCGCCTCATCGCACCCTTCTTCTCTCCTCTCGTAGCGGTGTCATGCTGGTTTCACGCAGTGTCTTAAATGTAAAACAGATTGCCAGACTTGTCCCTTGGTATAGTTGGTGAACTTTTAGCTCCTCAGGATGGACATGAAAGGATGCAAATCACCTTAAAATCAAACTCGCGGCAACAGCCAAAAGCTCAGATCAACGGGAGGTCTGGCGCGCTGTAACGTAACAATCCCAAGTCTTTGCAAACTAGGCCTGTTCTCTTTTAGTCAACCGTATTAGCGGCATGTTCGTACTGTCAGCGCTTCTCGTTCTCAGATAACAGCGTTAGCAAGTGTTTCGAAAAGTAACCTGGATCAATCAAGAGGTTAATTCCTTGTCGAAATGGCGGGAGTTTCTAGTCCACCGGCACAAGTCCGTACGCCGTCAGTACTCCGTTTCCCCGGCAGCAAGCAGCGTCGCACGCACGCCCCGCCCCCTCTCGACGCTCATTGGTCCCCTCAGTGAAGCGCCCTCGTCGATTTGGTCTAATTCGGTCTCTCATTAGCTGATCTAGCCTGCCTGTCAGTCTAAAACAGGCCCTTCAAATAAACCACGCCCGTATAGAATATAAATTGGAGGCTAGAGGTCAGCTGATGACAATAAAGATTATGTGATCCATTTTTAGTCTTTTATGCTTAAACACATTTTAATATTTTGATAATGTATTTGTGGATGCCACATTCATTTCCCTTTGAATTATCAGTTTAATTTCTGAACCCATTGTCTGGGCTCCATTTTGAACAGGTCTGATTAAACAATAGGGCCTGCCTTCATTATACAGTAGTGTGATTGCCATGAGTTATTGTGAATAAACACCAATCTTGCTGTACCAGTGAATTAAAATGGAAATAAAAAGTAGCATTTATTATGGTTTACAACGTATTTAGTTATGACATGGGCAAATTATATTCTAAATATCAAAAAGCATTTTATTCTTGCATGTGATAAGCCAACAGAAGATCTGGTCCAGAAAGAGCATCCTATTTAAAACAAAATGGCACATCTAAACATCAATCTGCATAAAGTTACACATTTAACACATTTTCGAAATGGCCTGTAAACCTCAAAAATAAACTAATAGAATATGGAAACATGCAAAAGTAAAGTTCAACTGCATGAAGAGCAAATCAGAAACCGTCAGTTGCCAGAAAACAGACATTTACAGCATGTGAATTAGAATACACCCTGCACGTTGTGACTTGCCACACAAAGTTTGGAATAGCCTTTCCATTCATTTCAGAAATCACTTAAAACAGCAAGACTTTAAATATCTTTAGAAGTAAACAAAGATTTTGCAGTAAATCCTTTTTTTTGTCATTTGCTAAAATGCAATATTTGCGTAAATGTGAAGATAACTGTAGAATAATTTTGAAAGCTTAGCTAATTGAACTGAGAACAGGAATCGTGTGCATTTTAACAAAAGTATTATAAATAAGCTATCTCAGAACAGCATTTTCTCCTGTGCAAATCTTCTTTAAAGGTGGCGCTCCTGATTCATCCAATTCCTCCTGTTAAATTAAAAGGAACACATGAAATAGATTACTTAAATGCTTACACAAGTAGAAACAATTATACTTTAAATTAACATCAACAGACCCCAGAGATATGAATAACAATCCTTTTTAATCAAGGAAAATAAGTTGGTCTTCCTTGAAGCCATTTTCAGAAAGTGTACCCGTGTATCTGGGGTGCTCCGTCTGACAGTTCCTGATGAAAGAAGGTCCTCCTTGATGAGAGTAGGAGGCTCGTCAGCCCCCTCCTGTCCTGAATGAACTGGCTCTGCATTCACATGAGTGGAATTACAACCTCATTAATGCTGCTTTGACAATGACGGAACACAGAGACACAATTAAGTGTTGTCATAGAGATATGTAAACCCATTTGTCATTATTTATAATAGTTACCATTGAATACAGACAGTTGAGGGTAAACACCTCAGGACACAGGTCGGTTTTTATTGTTCGGTCGAATGATAGAGCCATGGTTCCTTGTTGTTTAGTTTTAGGATACCATTATATTCACGAATACAGTATATATTGTGTGTACATGTTTTCAAACTACAGGAATAATGTGTAACATTGAGTGAAAATACGCTTCAGAGAGCCATCCACAAACCATCCACACTCTCCTGGCCCAGCATTGGTGGTTGCGAGTCTTCAGTTCGGAGGCTGGAGGTATGTGGAGGGCTGACCTGCTGCGAGCTTGAGGTGCTGCTGCTGTTATCCATTTTAGGTTGGTAAACGTCCGACAGAAAGCTCTGGTTGCTGTTTTCATCTGAGGCGGAGAGCACAGGTGTTGTTCTGAGCATCAGGCCACAGCTTCATCTCTTGCAACTTTTTTTTGTTGGTTTTTATTACATCCACATACCATCAAGCATGCAAAGGCTCCAGTATTTTATTAAAAACAGCCACAAAACTCACCAGTGAAATCCAGCAAAGAGTTACTGTTTTCCAGGACATCTTTCAGTCCTCTAACCTCTCCACCTGTGGATTTGGTGCGATATATCTGATAACAAAGAGGGGATTGACAAATTAGACTACTTATTAGCTGGATTCATTACAGTAAATCCTTAGTGAATTTTTTGACATGTCAGATGCCCCCCACCTGCTTTGTTTCTGTTACTGGCACCCACTTGAATATGCGTAAGGACGTGTCTCCAACTGTCACCCATTTCTTCTCCCTGGTGATGAAATTAGTTTTACTAATTGTGGTAAGGGGGTTTGTGTAAGTCTACTGAACAGCACTAACGTTACACCATCGGCTTTAATAGCGTTAATCTGCAACAAGACAGACAACATACATGCTCGTGTCTTATCTGTCCACAGCAGAGATGGCAGCAAATAAAATATCCTATTACGCTCACTGATAGCCATCGTTTACGCGTGTAGAAATCATGAGAATCGGCGTTGATTTATTTCAGTGTAATGTGACAACAGGGCAGTCGTGTAAATTGCAGCGCGCTGCATGTGAGGCTGTAGCCATATTGACAGCTCTCGGCGGAAAAAACTCAGCTAGCCCCGCCTCACCCGTCAATCCGGGGCATTGATTGGACGGCAGCTCCGTCAATCATCTAACTTTTCCGACTGAAGTTTGTTGAGCGACGCAGCAGATATCAGGCTACAGTCTACTAATACATTTCCCTCCATATTGTCCCCCACACAGCCTACATACCATTTGCGCACTTTCTCGATGGCTGCCAGGACCTTTTTAATGTCATCTTTAGCCCGACTTCGGGTCTCAGCGCGGCCTGATCGTCCAGACATCTTGATGCTGTTATGATTCATCTACAGATGCATCTGAAAACTTCAAGACCAAGCCCCAGTCATCCGTTACAGTGGTAATCTCGCGAGATTTCATCGTCTCAGTCCCCCCCCCCATCCTTTTTTGCCTCATCCTTCTCAGTATGCTCATAATGTAAGTACTGTAATGATAGGCTGTGTTTTTTCATTATATATTTATTTATCTGATGGACGTCTGTATTTACAGTGATTGAGACTAGCACTTTAAGTACTTGTACTTTACTTGAGTATTTGCATTTTATGCTACTTTATACTTCTACAGTCTATACTTCTACCCCACATTTTACTAGACTACATTTATATGATATGAGTTCTAGTTACTCCCCAGATTAAGATTGTACATAAATTTATAGTGCACTACTAAAGATAAAACCTGCGGTTCCCAACCTGCTAAGTAAAAGTACTCATTCTGGCCTTTGTGACAGACATGTGATCATATATCACATTATGAGATTGTTAATACTGATGCATCAATACATAAAAAGCATTTAACTGTTGTAGGTGCTCAAGTTGGAGCTTTAACTACTTTATATACTGTTTGGTAGTTTAGTAGTATTTTTAGTGTGGTATAGGTACTTTCAAGATCTGAGTATACGCCTACTTCTTCCATCGTCTATTTATTTGTTGATTGTGATTTATACTTTGTGCACGTTCAGCTGGTCCTCCTGTTTCCTTTGCTAAACAATCTATTTTTGTTTAGTTTTGTTAATGTGAATAACTGGATTTGCCCTTGCTACTGTGTTTATTTTAGACAAAAGCTTAGAAGAATGTAGACTAGTTTTGACTTGCGGTTCCCATGTTTGACCAGCAGATGATAGCCTTGAGCTGTGCACAGCAAATTGACCCCTCATGTGGGTAAGACAGAGCAAGGGTCGATTCTATTATACTTTGGTAATTATGGGAATGATCACTGACTGGAAATGATCATTCGTTAGCCTATAGCCTCCCGGGAATACGAAAGCAGGGTCAGCTCTCTTTAACCCTTGTGAAAAATACTGTGTAGTGACATAAAGGGAACAAAGAAGAAGCATGATAAGCTCTCTCACTTAGCAATCAATACTTGTTGACACACTGTACAGTTTCGCTGATCAGACAGTGCTGACACACTCTACTGACAATGTTTAGTGCCAGTCTATTGTCATTTGCACAAGTGGTGTTGTCACTGATCAGGACACCACAAGGGATATAATTTCTTCATTTCCTGCAGAGCTTATGGCATGAATTAGCCTACTGTACTGTCTGAATTCTGGTCTTATTGGCAAAAAGTGATGTTGCGCATAAGACATTACAGTTTATTCAAACTTCCTTTTGTCTTTATCTACCACATATATCAGCCTCGGCTCGGGTGTCATCATTCATCATGTTCCTCAAATTGAATTAAAATATATTAAATTAAATAGATTTAAACCTTCTCTACATCATATTACTATGAGATTGTCAGAGCAAAAGGGCAGTGATTGGGATTTTTACCATTAATTGTCGCTGCCTATGATAAATCATTGTCTTCTTCAATTCTGCAATATATATTATATACAGCAGTGGTTCCCAACCTTTTTTGTCCAACGTACCCCCACAGCCCTATCCGGTGGTTGTAAATATCCCTTTATCATGAGATGGCTTTATGGTATTATTCAATTGTATTTTTAGTTTTTTAAATTTTTTAAATTTTTGTTTTTTCCAACTAGTCTTTCTGCAGTCATAATCAATTTACAGTTGATTTAAGTTGGTCAAAAGCGGAGGCATGTCTTGTGCAGAACCCCATTGTTGGTAAGTTATTGTGACAATAGCTACAAAGATCAGCATGACACATATTTGTAATCTTACTTGTGTGTTGACAAATATGTGGCTATATACAGTATTATCATATCACAATAAAAAAAAATTCAAATTAGCTGAGCTTCACCATTCATCCAACACCCAGAAGTACCCCTTGGAGTACAAGTACCTCTGGTAGGGAATCACTGATATACAAAAACAGTCTTAAAGTAGTTTTGTAGCATTATGCGCAACATGTGAGACTGAATACTGTGGTACTGTGGCGATAATATTGTCAAGACCTATATTTCATATCTGTTTGATAAAGACTGCTGT